CCTGCGTTAACAAAATTTTGAAAAAAGTTTTTGAAAATTTTCTTTTTCAAGAATAAATGATTTTTTCCCAATTTTGTTAACGCAAGTTTATAGCTTGCAGCTACCATTTTCTTAAAGTCAGTGGTAAAAATGTCGACCGCCATCTATGGGCCGCCCCCAAACTATGCACTTAGTTTGGCTCAGTCGGTAACATTTTTCATTTCAATCTCTCATGCTTGTACTTTTTCCATTCAATTTTCTGCCCGTTGCATTTAATTTCAAGCGCTTGTTACTAATTAACCCTTTGAGTGCCTTAAGTTTCCACTTCCATAAGATTCTACCTAACTCACGTTAGACATTTTGTTACATAAAATTGTCCAAACGTTGCCTAACAGTGATGATCAAACGAAAGATCGAACAACAGCTATACCCATAACAGTATAATATATGGATGATTATGATGTTATAGTCGAATCGCGAAATTGCTTTCACAAAGAGAAAAAACAGCGCTCAAATGGTTAACGCAAATACGAACCGCATGGCGACTAACTCGACAACTTGGTGTCACAGATTAAAAAAGGTGTCCGTTTTCACGAATTTTCTGTTTAAGATTAACTAGTCGTAATTAATCGCGGAATTAAAACGTGCAGGACGACGCCATGATCGTACCGCCGGATCCATGGACCCTGGTCTTACGGTCGAAAGGTACATCGACCGCTTACGAGTCAGATACTAGTCGAAGATCGAGCATTTTGTTACCGCCGTTGAACCATTCGAAAGTAAATATCAGCCCGACCAGCAGCGATCCTTCCAGCGAATGAATTCTTTCATTTCTGTCCCCCCCATCGAGAAACGGAGGAGATTCTGAAGAATTTTCAAACGAAATTGGGGTCTTGGAATGAGTTGAAAAAGAAATTCGTCCCGATCGAAGGAAACGTTTTCCTGTCGAAGTTCTGGGAAATTTTGTACTCGAACTAGCAGATATTTTCAGTTTTGTCTGAATTGCTTTTATTCAAATTAGTACGCTGGTAACTTTTGGTATAATTACTGTTCGGAATTACTACCAAATTTTTTTTAAAATTTTATTTTCGTCGTATCATTATTCAACAATGTGCTATTATATTATAGGAGTACTTTTTTCACTATAATTATGGGTTAAAGTAACATGTAAATATTTTTTTATATGATCAGTGAAACACGTATTCCTAGTAACGATTATCGAAAAACGTGGTACAAATAGCCAACAGACTAGAAATTTCATCGGTCTGCTCTGAGATCGATCAAGGAAATTTCGTTTTTTACTTTAACATCCAATTGTCGAAAGCATTAGAGATTGTCAAAGATGGCGTCAGAAATGCCTCCTTGATGGTCACTGAGCCAATGATATCGGAAATTCTAAAATCACGAAGCGAGAAAAAGGAACGCCCAAGAGTTTTCTGTCAAAGACTTATTATCAAAAATGGCTCCACCGAGCGAAGAATTTCGGAAAATTTCGCGAATTCACTGGAGAGTATAATGTTAAAGAAAAGAAGATAACGTAGGTCCAAATCGTCAACTTTTACGCACGTTTCCACGTAAAACTTCGCTTTTAGATGAATATATTTAGATAACGGCGTGACCGGGTACGCTAGAGAACGAAAGGGAAAAAGGCAAAAAACACCGTAGAGGAAAATGCGCATCGTAAACACACACACCGAACAAAGATAGTTCCTTAATGTGAATCGAAACAATATTAGCCGCACCAATTAGGGATTAAGCTGATTAGGGGAGTAACGTTAGCTAGTTTGCACCTTTAAATGAGCTTTCCATTCAACCGGGGGACTCAACCGTGATCGAGAAGTTTTACCTCGATTATCAGTATTGTATTATTTACTATATTGTCGTCATTATACAATTATTATACAAATATATATACATAAATATCGACCGCATATGTACATATACGGGGGCCGTGGAACCGAAAATGTAAGGAGACGAAAGTTGCCAACGATCTCACGATGAAGCTATTATATTTGGAAATATAAATACTTTCTGATTTACTTAAAAATCTACAAAATAAACGTTTAGTTTCTGCTTAGACGGCTGTAGACGAAATATCAAAAGGAAATCATTCTTTTTTGGTAGGTGTAATTTCGCGCCAAATACGGGAGAATATGTCGGCCATCTTGCGGCAGCCATGTTTCTTTCAAGAACCTTTAAAACGAAGTGAACACACAACCAAAAAATTGAATGATTTCTTAACTGAAAATTAATACGAAATGAGGAATAACATTTTGTGCTTTTTTCGATGTTAATTATTAATATTTGTAACTATGTTTTTGTTCTTACTTTTACAAACAATACTGAAAATTGGTTCGTTTGATGTTTAGACCGCGAAATTTAAATTTAAAACTCCATACTTAACTGTAAGATTGTTTGTTAACCGTATATTAACGTTTTTTTTTTAAACATTTTCTGTTTGTTTAACTAGTTGTTTATTAATACGGTGCCAGAAGAAAAAGTATTCATACGATTCTGAATGTTGAAAGTAATATTATAATCAAATGATCGACGAACATGTAAAGCGATCTGATGCCAAAGTAGGATAATAAGACTTTAGAAGCCACCCTGTATATGTGTATATGTTCGTAAATATATATACTTATATACATATATATATTTTCTATGCGAAACTTTAGGGATTTCCGGACGTGCGTTCTTTGTTAGACTTTTCCTTGCGTAAGTTACTTAAGAGAATTTATAAATTTCGTTTATATAGAGTTTATAAATATTAAATACATGTTTAAACGCGAGAGTTTCTTTAAATTTCCTATTCCGATTGTAGCTGGGCGGAAAGAAGAATTAATTTAAGTTATCGAAGCTTCAGAATAAAAAATCCTATCCTTCACATTTTGATCCCTTAAAGGCAACAAAATCAAACGCCATTTGGTAAGTCTTATTCCAATAATTATTTAAACAAAATATCGTTTTTGTACTTTCAACGGATTTAAATCAATTTTGATTCCAGTTACAATCAGGTGCTGCACTAGAAATTTTATACTATTATTAAAAATTTAGTACTATAACAAATTTATTATTAAAGTTTTATATTAAGAATTTTATTCAAGTTTTGTTATTAAAAATTCCATTTAAATAATTTGTAAATGATAATGCAAGCTGAAAAATTGTAATTTAAAATAACAACAATACGGACGAAACAAATCCCCATTTAAGTGATTACTGAATCAAATATTGATTACTCGTTAAGTAAGTTAGAAATTGTTTTTCAATCACAATTACACCGTGACTATTATTCAGTTTCATTAGTGCATGAACAACATATTTGTAAATGAACAAATAATAAATACAGTATTTATAAATTATATTGTCTGAGTGTAACTTCTTCTTTGCAATAAAATGTAATTAAAAATATCTAACGTGCCAAAAATGTTGTTTTTAACACTCATAACAATTGTAAATTATATTATACAAAAAAATATTTAAAAACTACACTCAGGATCATTTTTTATCGATATTTGCGCAATTAACTTCGATTTTTAGTCTGTACGATAGTTTCAATGTCACCTTGTTCATTAATATTGGTACCCAGAATTCCCAATTTTCAACGGCGATTTAAGAGAAATATTATCTACTTTATAGTGCATTAATTTAAACGGAAATTAAGTCCGGAAAATCCCTGAAACAATGTCAATTTCTCTTGAAAGACTTTCGTGAGGAAACGTGGAGATGAAGAACCTTGCGAGTAAGCTTAATCATTAATTATCGATTAAAAGTGAATGTTATCCTAACGACGATAGTGCTAAGGACATTAATTTTTAAGTTCATTAAATAAACGGTGCCTGGCGGATTAAATGGACGTTTACGGAAGAATCGTCCGACGAATCGATTGCAATATTTGTATCGCTGAATTATACAAGCACTCATATTTGCGTCTAATAAAACTAAATCGATGTCATAATATGTGTAAATAAAGATAGATTATCTTTGACAGCAGCAACTGCTTAGTTTCCTTTCCCTGACTATTCTTACCAACAAATTTTATCGATTACTAATCCCAGATAGCACATGGCGCCTTGAAGACGTCCATTTTACGGTTATTTTGGGTCTGAGGTGCCTTTAAGACGTCATTAAGCCGTCTGTGTGCTATCTGGGATGTGATTAAGACGTAATTAAGCCGTCTATGTGCTATCTGGGACGTGTTCAAGACGTCATTAAATCGTCTATGTGCTATCTGGAACGTGATTGTGACAACAAATCTTTTGTAACTTTGAAAAAAAAAACAATAAAACAAAATCTACCGTAACGTTAAGTTCACGTTCTCTGTAAGAATTCATTAATTTCGTTTAATTGTTCTTGGTAGAAATTTCTATCGATTGAAGACGGCTTAAAGACGCCTCAGACCTAAAATAGCCGTAAAATGGGCATCTTCAAAGCGTCATGTGCTATCTGGATTGCATAAAAGCAATTATAGTTGAACTAAATTATTTATTAGAAAATAATATTGTTTGGTTGAAAATGTTATCGTTATATTGGTTTAACCCTCCGTTGTCACACTGGGTCAGATTGATCCTGAATTTGAAGTAAACTATTGAAGATGGTACTAGTGGCGATAACCATATCTTTTTAACTAAAAAATATTACAAATCTTTGAAGTCATGATTTTTTAAGTAAAGAAATTGTCGATATTTTTTTTTCTTCGAGAATTTTTTAAACATGAAATTTTCAATGTTAATTTTTAACCATGAAAATATAATCTACAATATTCAAACTTCATCTTAGACTTGTTTGTGACTCCATTTAATAAGTAGTTTTTAAAAAACAGCTGATTGAATATTGACTTCGGTTAAAGTGACCCAGTATGACAATTACGTTCGAAAAAGAAGGTGTTACAACGGAGGGTTAAAAATACTTCCATTGTTTGTCAACTTGAGAATACTAACGTTGTTTTTGTAGTTAAAACATTTATGAAATTGTTTTAACTATTCTCATGCAATAGAGAAGAGTATAAATAAGAGACTCACCTGTTCGAAGCCACCCAAAATTTCTGTGGTGTCCATCGCGGAATTCACGACGATCGATTTCAGTTTCTGCCCGGCCAGATTTGCAAGAAGATGAACGAGGCTGGTTTTTCCACTTCCGGTATCACCAATCTGATGAACGATATAACAAAATATAGATAAATAAATGATGACAAAAAATCACAAGTAGTAATTTAATTGGATACTATGAAATTATAAATGATTATTTATGTAACAAAATTTCTTTAATGAAAAGTAATAAAATGTTTCTATCCCCATAATTTAATTGTATTTTCAATGTTCTTAATAAATATATGTTGAATATTCACATGTTCAACTAATATAAACAAACATAAGAAAACATATCATATACTATACTCTTTTCATATTGCTGTGTCGAACAATTTCTAATAGAACAAATATACTATAAAACATAATAAATTATTACTATTTATTATGTTCAATTATAGAATGTTATATGTGAGTAAAGAGAACGTAACTGTTGTATGAAGATTACGGTTGACTATTTCAAACTATACTCACAAGAATAGCCATCCAGTTCATGTTAACACACTGTGCAAGACCTTTGAGAGCAGCTTTCTGGTCCCTTAGGAGTAACAAATCGTCGTCCTCGTAGACCGCAGAATCACTGCGATCCACAACTTCATCGTCTAAGTAGACCTTTTGTTTCGTAAAATGAACAGGGAATTTTGGATCTGGCAAGGGATACTCTTCCAGTGAGAATATTGTATTATAGATCTCGATCACCTATAATGAAACAGAATTCAATTAATAATACGAAGAACATTAAGAAAAATAATTAAACATTGAGTTAAGCTTGTACATTTACAATTCTATAAATTCAATCCAAATTTAAACACAAATGGAAAATAAGAATTATTAAAATAATATAAATAGTACAGATTGCTTTTACAAGAATAACGGACACTTATACAAATAAGTTAAACAGAATTAAATATATTAGGTTTAGTACGTCCTATGTAACTGAGAATTTCGTTTACTGTAATAATGTACGAGAACTATTAACAATAATTGCAAGAATGTACCTTCATTTTGTCTTCCCGTGTCCTCATTCTATCAACATAAATTAATTGAGCACCTTTCCCAGGATTCAAAGTCTTTTTTCGACTCTGTTCAAAAGCTGCCATAGTCAATTCGCACCACCTGGTGACATCCCTAAGGTTCATTTCCCAAGGTGCCCCTGAATGAGCCCATGTGATCCCCGCTTCAGAACTCAATGTCTCGTTAAAAATAATCATTTTTTCCATTAAAACTTCTGGTAACTGTGGGAACTGAGCCTTTAAAATGAATTTTAGGTCCTCTTGTTCTAAGACATCAACAAAAACCTAAAAGAAGAACAAAATGAGCGATTTTCGAACTTCTAATAGTCTAGCTTTACATCTAAAGGAATGAAAATTATAGGAAAAATCGATCACTCCCAATAAAAAAACATTTTTGTTTAAATAATATAACTTTTCTATGAAAATAAAATGATATGCTTCCTTTCTTTACAGACAGGGAATATGGTATTTGATTAAGAGTGTGCAATAATGATCACTTACCTGTGTAAAACGGTTTAAAAATGATTTTGGCAGTCCCCTTCTAGCTCCACCCTGACGCAGTGGATTCTGGCAGCCAAAAAGCCGTGTGCCTGGCTTTACGGTAAAAGTCATTCCCAATTCTGGAATGTAAACTTCTCCACGGTGGTCAAGACACGCATTCAGTCCTTCGAGAACTGACTGAGATGCAAGATTTAATTCATCGAGCAAAATCCAGTCTCCATTTTTTAGGGCTCTTAAGAAGGGACCGTCTCTCCAAGAAAATTCTCCAGGCTTTCCCCCCTCGACTGGCAAATCAGCTCCAAATAAATCTGATATGTCCTACAGGTTTATTAATTGCAATTGAAATATATTTAAGGGACATATGAACTTTGTTATCGAATTAATTAATTGTTAAGCAAATGAAGAAGAGTATGAGGTCATAAGTTAGGAAAGTCGTTTAATAATAAGTGAGGTGTATTTACCGTCTGATCGCTGAGATTTAGTCTAAGAAGACGATGACCAGAAGCTCTGGCAAGTGCAGAAACCAAGCTGGTTTTACCAACTCCTGGACTTCCTTCTAATAAAATCGGTTTCTTCAATTGTAGAGCACGTAACACTTTTAAAGTATTTATTCTGGTCGTTGGACTCGTAAATGCAAATCCTAGGTCATTTGGAATTTCTTCAGGACCTTTCTTTACGTAAAATGGCGGAATACCAAATTTATCGTCACAATCTTCGACATTGGAATGTTCACAGTTTAGCATCAGCTTAGATTTCAATGTATTCTGTACTTGATGTCTGACAAAGTTCAGTGCCGAATTTTTAAAATCCTTAAATTTTGTTGAACTGGAAAAGAATATTCAATATTTCGTATAAAAGAACAATTGATCGAGTATTTCAAGTGATATTTAAATCAAAGTAATAAGCGATTTACACACTGGAAAATAGTTGTAAATTACATACTTTTCTGTGGCAGTTAAACCAGATCCAAGCCCATCAATGTAGCTCAATGCTGCACCATGGTAGAAAGCATCTCCTATTTCCAAATATTCGCAACAATTAACAAAATTCACCCATGTCAGCACATCTCGAACACTGACAACAAGTTTCTTTCCTATCTCTGTCGTCTGTAACCACTCGAGGAATGCTATAATCGCAGTTGAAACGCTTTCCTTCAATTCTTTACGAAGATTGTGCACCATAATGGATCGAAGATCATCAGACGAGACACAGCCTTCACACCAAATTTCAGTGAACCTATTTCTAAGCGCAGGTGACAGTTCTTTTTTGCCATAATCACCACCAGGATTCATGGTGCCGACAAAGATGAAATTTTCACTTGCAGCAACAGTTGCATCTTCATCGGTTGATGGTTTTTCGGCGATTAAAAGTGTACGTTCAGGTTCTAAAGTAAAAAAAGAAGTTTATGGAACTGCACAGTGTGCGTAATAAATGTCACTGTACAAAGTATTTCAATGGATTACCTAAAAGGGAGTTCAATCGTTCGAGGACACTGTCATCTGCCAAGGAAATTTCATCCACTAAGAAGAAACCTCCGCTTTTCATGGATTTCACTAAAGGACCGTCCACCCACTCGAATAGTTTCTGATTATCCTTGTGATCTCTGACTGGGCGAAGGCTTCCAAGAAAATCTGTAGCTTCTGTATGCATATGACAGTTAACGATACTGAGTTCCTGCTGTCTAATTACTGACATAAGCTGACAGACTGTGGTCTTGCCACCACCTGTTTCACCGATCAGCAGGACTGGCTCTTTAAAGTCGCAGGCTTTTGTAAGAAGCACTGCCATTTTACGCATCTGATAGGTCCAGACTATATGCTCGAACCCAGGAATCTTCTTCGACAGAAGTGTTTCCAAAATTGGTTTGGTCACAGGTGAAGTATTTTCGGACAGTGAAAACAAAGAATTTGGATCAACGTCTCTTCTCAGATGCTTCTTCAAGACTTGTATGATTTCTAAACATTCTTCTGGATGGCGGACCTTTGAGGACAGAACCAAGTAACCTTCGTCTGCTAAATGCTGACTCCAATCGTACAGAGTCTCTTTATGATCTGGCGCAAGATGATATCTTTCAGCCCAACGGAATAGATCCCTGAGAGTTATAAATCCTAAGAAAAAGAATGAATACTTTTCAATTCACCTCAAACAGATAAACATAACATTTAATGTTTTTCTTTTTTTATATTATACCTTTCTTTCCAGCAAACGTTGCAGTACTTTTTCGTCTAATTTGAAGTTCTGTCATTGCATTAATTACTTGTTTGCAGTATGTTTCTGGCATTTCACACCTTTTGTGTAATATAACTTGCAGCTCTTTCGGAGGAATTTCATCAAAATGCAGCTCAACGAATCGATTTCTGAATGCACGCGACAGTACCTAGGAATACAAAGAAATAATAAATACTTCACAGCTAATTAGCGATTAACTTTCTATTAATTTCCTACCTTCCTTCCACCGTACAATCCCGGCGGATTCTGAGTAGCAAACAGCATGAAATTATCATGTGCTTTAACCACTTGTTGCGTTTCTGGGATGTACAATTCTCTGTTATCATCGAGAACTCTGTTTAAAGCTTCCAAAACGTCGCTGGGTGCTAAATTCAATTCATCCAAGATGATCCAGTATCCTGAAAAACATTTATTATCGTTAACAGAAATAACAGACTTTGCAACGCTGTAATAAAAAAAAAATCGTATATTATACCTTTACGCATAGCATCCACTAAAATACCCTCTTTGAAGACTAGTTTTCCAGTGCAGTCTGCTACATATGTACCAACATATTCTTGCAGATCGGTATGCTCATGATTGTTAATTCTGACACAAATATGTCCAGAGGCCTTTGCCAAGTACGTGATCAAACTGGTCTTTCCAACAGAAGTATCACCTTGCAATAATACAGGCATCTTTCCAATGGACACTACTCGAACTAAATCTTTCAAGTTTTGTCGGACCGTTTCTGTGAGTATGTACTACAACAGGAAAAGAAATTAGGAATTTTCAATGCTGTGTAAATAGAAAAACTAAAATAAAGGTAAGGGACTGGCTCACATTTTTTGGTATCTGTGGGCTGAGATCACCCTTAGGAATCCAATATCCTTCGAAACAGATGAAATTTTCAGTAGTTCCACCATGCGGACATGGAATTGGTGTTCCAAGAATTGCATTTGCAGTTTTATCGTTTAAAATAGCCTTCACAATCATTCTTTGTACCAATGGATAGGAATGACTGTCCAATTGCGTCAAGAAACTTAAACAAAATGCTTCATACAAAGATCTCAATGCATTTCCACAGGGGTTCTGTGCAGATACACTTAATGCACGACACAGTGTTCTTAAACTGTAGTGTGGTTTATGACCAGTTCCATCAAGAAGATTGGTTTCAGCTTCCTTTCTGACGTTCAAATAAAACCTGACGATACTTTCAATTTTCTGAGTCTGAAGGTTTAAGTCTTTCAAGTAGGAACTTACGAGAAGCTGTAAATCTGACTTCTCTGTAAGTTCGTCGACATAAAATTCTGTAAACCTATTTCTGAGCCCCACCGGAAGATCTTTCTTTCCAACATCGGTAGCTGGATTCATACATGCAAAAATCGCAAAGTCTTGATGTCTTTTGATCTGTTCTTTGTCACCACGCTCTAATAAAGAGAGTGATCCACAGGATCCTTCCAACAGTCCAGAAAGACACTCTAATGTTTCTGCAGTGGCTAAGTTGATCTCATCCAATAAAACCCAATCGCCATTTTTCAATGCTTTCACCAAACCTCCTTCGACGAAAGAAAAAGCTAACGAATAATGACTTTTCACTTGAGACTGTAGCTTATCCAGTTTTCTAGCCATGTTCTCCCACTTTTTCAAGGACTGAACTACATCCTGATTCTTTGAACTTGCCCTCATTCGTGTCAATGCTGCACGAGTACTATGAAGCATCAGAGTAGTCAGTGTCTTCCACTTTCTTTCATCAAAACAATGTCCAATGTGGTTCAAAAACTTTCTGTTCGGTTCAATAGCGTAATACGATCGGAACAAGATTTCAAATTCTTCGCGAATAGGAAGAATCAGAAGCTTGAAGTCTACCGGTTTATAGCCACCAAGCAAATCTGTACTCTCGCTCTGTTGATTCATGTTTATCACTACCAACTTATGACCTGTTATTTGCGCAAGATACTGAATGCAACTCGTTTTCCCTGTTCCTGTCTCTCCGACAAGAAGAACAGGCTCTTTTTGTGCAACACAGCTGGCTATTCGTTCTAAAAGACATACCGATGGCCTTGTGTATGAAAAATTTGATTTCTTAACTGCAAGTTTCACTCTTTCAGACTTTTTTATCGCCAAGTTTGCTCTGCCAACAATGAGACTGTGCTTATGGTGGTTCACCGATGGCTTGTGCACATTACAAAAATACTCTGCTTTTGTTTTTATGATACCTAGCTTGTGCGCTACTGCTACTGCCAAATTTAACCTCTGATCTGTAAAAAGTATGTGATTTTTTGTTCTTAACCGATTTAAAAAAAATACTCTGACTTGAAACATCAGAATTCCTTGATGCAGAAGAGCATTCTTTACATACCACAGTTAGTCACAGAGCAACAAAAAACATCCAATGCGTCTTGAAACATTTTTAACGCAGACACAGGCGAAGATACATCAAACTCAACGATAGCCCTGGAACACCATTTAATCAAATCTCTGGTAGAAATCTGTCTAGCATTCCTTATACTATTCACAGCATCGTCTTCGTGATTACCAACAGAGAACAACAAAAAGACATCAATAATTCTTGTAGCCACTGTATGTAATACTGGAAACTGAGTTTGTACAACTGTCACTAGTTCTTCTTTGGACAATGGTTCTACATTGACGCAGGACCAATGTTTCTGGAATGGAACAGACACTTTTAGCGGCTTCTGTGTTCCACCGGATGCCAATCTCGTAGTAACAAACAACTGAAATCCGCTTTTTATATGTATACAATCTCTGTATCCTGGAACCGACAATGTTTTACTTTCTACAAGCTGCCCAATAATACTGATGACATCTGTTGGGGCACAATCAATGTCTTCCAGAAGCAACCACTTGCCGGTGAGAACAGCTTCTGTTAAAATTCCTGGTTGCCATAGAAATTCTCCAGGAATATCTGTACACAAATACATTCCTAATAACATTCTCGAGTCTGTTTGATCACCTAACTGCACTTTTGCAAAGTTCTGTGTATTATGGCCTGTTGCCTCTGCCAAAAATTCCACTAGTGCAGTCTTTCCAGAACCAACAGCGCCTTGTAAACATACACATTTATTAGAAGATACTGCGAGAGCTAGATTTTTCAAATTTCTTCGTGTCGATGGAACAGGTATTAGGTTCAAATCTTTCTTAGACTTTAGTTTATTGAATACTGGAAGAAGAATTCCTCCCACAGAGACTATTGATGGCAGCTCATTGAACAATTGATCCATTTCTTCGGTGTTCGCAGATGTTACATTATTCTGGCTAATTTTTTTACATACTGTAGCAAGTTGTTGACTACTTGGAACTAACTCATTCATACGATCTAAGGTACATGATTCTGACATTCCTAATACAATGGCAATGCAATTCATCGCTACCCTGAAAAGTGATTCAAAGCTGTTACTCTTCTTATGTATCTGTAAAGAACAATGATAAGTCTATAGGAGATTTCAGACATAACATTATGCATCAATCCTCATTCGTTTTTGTAAAATTGTTTTAAAATAATCCCACTTTGTTAGTGAGTTGACAATTCGTACCATAATCTTATGATATGACATTTCATGCATGAGAGTTACTGTATGCTCTTAATAAGACTTAACATTGTGCTTTACCATTTTATTTAACTGAAGCAACATTATAAGAATACGTATTACCATCTAACAGCTTCATCTTCATCTGCTAAATATTTGTAAAACTTGGACCAGTTCCATGTGTATTTGAAGTGCATTGGTGCACTGCACAGAATATCATAGCAGGCTGTTACTAAATCATATTCAGAAACTTCAGGAAAGGATGACACCTTCCTTCTATTAGGCCTCTTAGAAGAAGGAGTGTAGTCATCTTCTACAGACTCAAATGGTGCTGGGTTTACATCAAAATAGTGCAGAATAAATCTATAATTAAATAAGAAATGTTTATGAAATCCTTGTATTATAAGCTAACATGCTAAATAATTTATCTACTTTTAATAAAATCTCTATTTGTTTTATTTGTCAGTATTACTATATCAAATTATATGTAAAATACGAAACATAAATAGTGAAACTTCAATAAAAAATAATGTCTATACTACAAATGCAAGCAGGCTATGTTTATATTTTTGTAAGAAATTGTATACTGTTATCGTTATTAACAATAATACAGCCAAAACAACTTATATCAGAATAAGATTTAATTTCGTTTAAATATTGAATTACATGTATTACATATACTTAATAGTTTTAACTTTGAGTAACAAAAGAATTGTAGTAGTATATAAAGTAACAGATATTTCGTATCCTCATCTAAAATACTCCAGCCTGCAACGTCAGACCTAAAAAGTTAACATAGAATGTTTAATGTAATTACAAAAATACATACGTTAATAAATCACGATTCTTGCAGACAAGCTTTCCCAAAATAACAGAATTTAATTTATGCAATGTATCTCCATCGTTAAAAGAGGCTCTCTCCATGGGAATGCTTTTGGAAACTAGTGCACATAGCAATTGTGGAAAACATTCAGCTACATCCTCTGTGGTTTTTGGATTCATCAAGAATTCACACAAAATATCCAAAATTTTTTCACAATCATTGTTGCTGAGTTCCTATAACACAATTTTTAAGAAAAGAAATTCTACTTTGTAAACTGAAAGAAAATTTACCTGAACAAATCTATAGAAAGTATAATTTACCTTGACATTTTTGTAAGATCCAAGCTTTTGTTCGTAACTTTTCTTTCGCTGAATGAAAGCCACCAAACTTTGCAGTAACATATTTAGAAAAAAACAAACACCGCATACATGTGTAATTTTACGTAAATGTACAAATCAATTCCCACGTGCGTTTGAGAGCTTCGTTTGAAGTTAACTCACATGTTCATACTTTCGTTATGAAAAAATTCCCTAGGACGTCAAACTGTTTTACCAATCATTAACACAATATTACACATGCAGAGTGGCCCGCGCAATTTTCACCAGCTATTGTTAGTATTTCAAGAACTGCACGAGTTGTTTAACCGATCTTATCCTTGGGGTTTTCAAATTTATATAAATTGATCCTACCTGTGAAGATTGTCCGAGGTATCTATGTTAAAAAATAAGCACTTTTGAAATATTTTTTCTTAAAATAATTCCGTCCAACACATAACAAATCTAATATGAATACAAATCTATTGTAATATTCCAACTTATACATGAGCACCTTCTATATTTCTAGAATTTAATTAAAGAATTGTACATGTCAACTTATGCATTTCTAACTACTTTTTATTATAAAAAATTTCGATCAAAGTACTTTCACTTATCCATAGTTTAATTTTAAATTAGTTCAAACATCTGAACATGGTTAATTTTAGTATATCATTAAGTATTTATAACATTAGCACAATTTATATAAGGCAAACAAAGTAATGAATTGTTTCAATTGATATTTAATACAAAATATAAAATTTACAATTTATACAGTCATTGTTTTACATTTATTACATGGGAAATTAGTTATAATCTTATGTCCAATGGATAATTCAAATATTAAAAGATCTCGGGATGTGCATTAAATTCTTCTTGTAGTTTTCTTTCTATTGCGGGTAGAGAAATATTAACCTGTACATTAAAACTGACATAGACAGGTTTAGACAGCTTTTTGGATAATCTCTTAGCCAGATTGCTTGAAGCATCATTTGCAATTGATCCAAGAATTTTTGTTGCTACTGGTTCTTTTTCCAGGGGTGATTCAATCGCAAAAGACAAATCATTCATCGCTTTTTCACGTGAATCACCTACCCATAAGTACAGACAGTTATCCATTTTAACTGTATGACAAGCGAATGTTGTGTTGCCGATGTCTATAACAAAATCATGGAACCCGAAGGTACATTCACTCTTTGTTTCTTCTCCTTTGCGATTTTCCATTTTTTCGTAATTTTTGATACGTGTTTCCACTTGTTTAATAGTAACTGTGTTTTACCGAAAAAGTGCTGTGTTATTGTAGCAACATAACCTCCAAATTTCAAACAGGCCGGCGTGTATAGCAACGATCATGGACAATACATCATGAAGTTATGCATAATAAAAAATAGAGACTCAGATTCAGTCAGACCGCTCTTTACATTTCCCTAGGTTGTATTGTTTCATGATTGTTGCAAACTCGCCTTTACCTTCTAGGAGCGTTTAGCGCAAGCTCCACAAGCGCGTAATTCAAACCGAGATATATGTAATTGGAAAAAAGGTGAAAACAAGAGAGGGGGGCACATTGATACCTAAAAGTATTTATGGAGGAGAAAAATATTTCTCTTCCATTCGTGAATATCACTTTTTTTATAATGTAGAATTGTTTTTACGCTTTCACATGTATCTACCATATTGTATATAGGACTTTTCGACGTAACAAACGTAATAAATATGTAATAGTTGCTATATTTAATTAAACTTGAATTAAAAATAAAAATAGTTAAGTTTGGCGCAAAATCTGAATTTCAAAAATCGCGGGAAAACTGTAAAATTGTGAAAATTATGGTAGCCACCTAGTGGTGGAAAGTGAAACTAAATCGGAAACTTCTTAATCTAATTCCGTAATTCACCGCCGGATGGCGTCACTTTGTCGTTTTACAATTTCCCGCGGTTTTTTTGTAGAAGTTTCTGAATTTATTATTTTCTTATTTGTTTTTTTCATTTTGTTGATAAAATGAAGTTGGGAATAGCGTAATTACCATTTAACTGTAGTTTTTGAAAAAATCTAAAGAAAATATACAATTTACAAGCATTTGTATACATTTACCATTGCCTTAAATACTACTTATGTGTGCATATAATTTTACAATACACTTCTAATAATATTTGCATTAATTTAGTAAAAGTGGGCGTAAATATTATTCACACTTATAAAATAGAGTATTTATCGAGTGCTATGACACACAAAAATTTTTCTGGAGTTTATAAAAAAAAGAAATATTATGAAGCATAACCATTAAGTGTTTTTAATAATATAAACTCTGAAATATATTTCAAGGCTACACAGATATAGAAATATCCTTTTGAGTAAACAAGTTACTATTGAGGATGTTTACCATGACTACCTTGTAAAGAAATGAAAAAATTGTGTCCAAACAGCGATAATGATACGTTTGGTAATTATTACTTTGTTAATTTAAAGTGTCCCAAAGGACGTTGATGCGCCATCTAGTAACAAGGTAGTTACTAATTAACTAATAGCTTGCGGCATTTTGTCGTAGATGGCGTTACAAGCCTCCTTAGCTGCTTCCTTTATAAGAACAAAATTAAGCATACATTTGAAACAACATAATCAATAAGAATTAAGGCACAATATTTTATTTAGGAATACTCAACGAATAATCGGACGCCATTCGTAAGGCATTCGTTTTTATAAAGTAAATTATAAACACTTGTTATTCATGCATTGTTTTTTAATAATGTAAATATAGGAAATGTAATACGAAAATAATTGTGTCGATGAACATGAATACAGTAGTTTTAAATATATAAAGTATTGTATTCGTATGTTACAAATAATTTCACGAATTGTTACATGACATGAAGTATTTTTATTTATTTAAATTCTTTAAAAATATCTCGATCAAAAATTATGTTACTACATATATACATTTGTTTCGAAAATTGGATTTTGAAGCGAGTTTAAAATATGTTTGACATTTTATAAAATGTTATTCTGAATTTGTTGCCTGAACAGTTACTTCCTTTATTTATCTTGTAGATTGTAATAAGGAAGAAATTATTTCAGGAAGGTTTTTTGCGTGTCACCCGGTATAATAACTACATATACATATAGAAAGGCTTATTGATATACCTGTACCGGAATCACCTGCATGTGCAGTGAGCTGTATACCTAAGCCTCTAAACGATCGCGGCGCGTATAATTTATGAATTATTATTTTGTACTATAATGTTGGCCCCACTGTACGCCCGGCTGTTCAAGCCAGACCAATGGGGAGTCCCATCTTGTTGGAAACTGAGATAAAAAGCACACCCATTGGCGTAATGCAGCGAAAATACTTTACACGGTATTTCCAAAACGTGGAACGTACAAAATTAATTAAAAAACACATGATTTGTCCAATTGGAACAGATACTACGAATATTGCTATTGTGTTCAGTCAAATTGAATCGATCTGTCAATTAATGGAAAATAATTAAAAATTCTAATCATGGTACTTTTGCATTTCTTCCATTTTTTTGCTTTAGGTATAAAGGATTGTCAGATATCCTCTAATAATTTTGAGTAGTCAGTGTATTTGAATTATGTTGCAAGATTTTTTATTCCAAGTGTTTATAATTAATATATAGAACTACTTATAATTTTTTTCATTGACCCAAATTGGTAATTTGCTTTTCATTCAATTGTTTTCCTAATTTTCAGATATAAAATGTTTCTGTAAACTTTACAACATTTCAAATGTTACTCCTAAAATTATGCCCGTGACTATAAATTTTTAACCAAACTGTACAGCTGGTTACAAAACTCCAAGATATAGCAGGGATTGTAGAGTAAAATTAAAATAAAGACTTCTTTCATGACCCAATTTTACAAAATACTTTTAAAAAAAGATCTTCATCTGTTAAATCAATACATATTCCAAAAATTTATTTCTGTTATGATCTTCAGCAATGAATGCAACTATCCCCTTCCCCATTTTCAATCCATGAAACCTGTTAACAGATATTCAAAACTAGACCTAAAAGTAATCCATGAAGCCTCTTTAAACTTACTTCCTCTATGGACCTTCAGCAGCCAATTTTGCTACCCACAATTTTCAAAACAGGAAACATGTTGATACATATTCATACTAAATTAACATTCACCCCATGTAACACAAGGTCTACAAGGTCCCTATAATTTCTATGATCCAGCCAAGTTAATTGACCTTACTTCAAGTACAGAACCACTCCCCATCCTGGACACCTAAAACCTGTCGGTGAACACTTTAACCAGATCCGCCTAATTCACTCCACCGCAACAGGACATCTAAGCCCCCTCGGCTCGCCTGAATAACCTCGATCGTTCAATTAATCCAACCCAACCAGAACCACAGTGCCTCTCATAATCGACGCACAAAACCCACCGACAAGCATTCCAACAATCTCGAAACTCAACACCGTGTATAATGAAACCGCGCTTTTTTTCCACGGGCTCATTACACTCTTAACCAGCTGCAGAGGTCCCGTGAAACAAGGCACCGGCGTTATCTCGTCGGTAAATTAATGGGAAGCCCCGTGGTATGAGGCCAAAGGGACTGGCGGGTCCGATCGATGGATCGGATCGGTCTGATGCTTTGGTCTAACCAAACAAGTATCGCTTCTTGTCCCGGTCTATCGAGCCGATCTGATATCTTGGTTAACAACACGTTGATTGCCATGTGACCACCGGCGAGTCACACTTTGTCAAGCTCACACGTGACACGTCGTCGGGTCACGCCCAGTTTTCTAGTATTCTGTTGATATGAAAATTACAATATAAAATCAGTTTATAGTTAGATAGCACATTAGAAATGTTTCTGTTTTTCATTAAAGGTACGTTTTCACGTGACAGTAAATCGTCATTTTTACGATTGCTCTGGTCAAGGTGCGTTTTCACGTGACACTAAATCACGACTTTTACAGTTACGATAGTAAAAGCACGTTTTCACGTGACAGTAAATCGTGACTTTTATAGTCACGATAGTAAAGGTACATTTCCACGTGACAGTAAAACGTGAATTTTACGGTCATGACAGTAAAGCTGCATTTCCTCGTCACAGTGAATCGTGATATTCACGAACGTTACACTAAAGGTACGTTTCCACGTGACAGTAAATCGTGGCTTTTACTGATATTACACTAAAGGTACGTCTTTACATGACACTAAATCGTGACTTTGTGTCACTAAATTTTATGACTCTTGTCGTCGACGTATGTACGTACGTCTTTACATGACACTAAATCGTGACTTTGTGTCACTAAATTTTATGACTCTTGTCGTCGTGAAACCTAGACGTTACATTGGTTTACATTGTCAAACAGTGTCACGGCAACAAAAGCCATGACTTACTGTCGCGTGAAAACGTACCTTAATGTCAGCTGATTCACAGTGCTTCCTTTTAATTCGATTGAAGAACAGAGTAACGAAGATGAACCTTTGTTGCCATACACACGGCTTGGTATGTTGGCACATAGGGGGAAAGAAACGTAAAATCAGCTCGTGTTAAATCCACGGGCCAATGGTTACGCCAATGGGGACCGCGCGAGAAACGAGGTAGAGCCGTAAGGAAGGTGAGAGAGAAAGAGAGGGAGATAGAGGACCGATGGCGCGGCAGGTAGAGACTCTGGGGCCGGGCCCCGGTGTATACTATAATTACGAGTAACTCAGCCACATTTGCGTTGATCCGACACCTTAAAGATAACATTTAGCGGCCCCTTTTATCTCCGCGGCAAACAAACCAATTTATACCTCAGGTCGCTTTGTGCTTCGGCTCTCCACGTCTCCCTCGGTCCCCAGTCGTCCTCTCTCTCTCCATCTCCCTCTCTCATCGAAAAAACCCCGCCCCAAACTACGAATTAGGAGCATCCTTCTCTCCTCCTTTTACCACCTTCCATCGTCTCCTACGTTTCCTTTTGCGCTTCTTCGCCCCCCCCACCCCTTTTGCTCTTCTTCTTCAGTCCCTCTTCTTCTCCTCCTTCTCTGGTGATTTACTTCCCTTCTTGTTCGACTATTTTGCATATATCCTTCTCTGTCTCTTCTTTGCACAATAAGGGTCCTTTGGATTGCTTTCTAGACTTTTCTTCCCGCTTTCTTCCCCGGGTTCGATCTTCTTTTTATTTACCTTTCTCGATTCTCCGGTTCGGTCGGGGGATCCCCGTTTGGCGGTGCCCCGTAATGTTAATATTTTGACGACTTTGGCGGCCTCGGACGGCATCTTTCTAAGCTGCTTCTAAAGATCCTCGAGTGTCAATTAGACGGAAGATTATCTTCTGTGTGTCCCGTCGGTCCGAGGGTGTTGAATTTTACTGTTTTATGGG